TATAGGTATGTGGGTGGATGGATAGATAGGATAGATGAAAGATAGATAGATAGATAGATGGAAATTTACATTGAATAAATAGGTGGTTCGATGGATATATGAATAAATGGGAGGAATGTAGAGGTATATGGGTGAATACATTGATGGCCTAGAATGAATAAATGGGAGGGACAAAGAATGGGAGAGTGGACAGGTGGATAGATAGATAGATGGTTAAACTGTGGGATGGCTGATTGCTTAGGGGGATAGACAGTGGATGAATGGGCAGGTGGGTGCATAGGAGGATGAATGGATGAATGAGAGGCTAAATGGGTGGGCAGGCAGGTGGGTAGATGTACAGATATGTGGATGTATACATGAGTGGATTGATGGCAGAATGGGTCTGTTGATAGACAGATGAATGAGTAGATAGATGGACTTGGTAGATGGGTGAATGGCTGGCTGGCTGGATAAGTGGATAAATGAGAGGATGGACAGATGTGTGGCTGGTTGGATGGATGGATACATTGATGAATGGATAAATGGGGTTGAGGGAGGATGGCTAGATAGATGAGTTGGTAAGTAGGTGGGTGGATGGGTAGATGGATGGATGGATGGATGGATGGATGGATGGATGGATGGATGGCCCTGGGGAAATAGTCTTCCCATCTGTAGAATGGGGGTTGTAAGACAACTGCTGTAATTCTAGGGAATGGAGCAGGTGCCATCCGGCTGCTATGCCTGGCCTGCCTTCAGCACTGACTTTGTGTTTGATGGCCACTGTGATTATTGTTCGCCGATTTAGTCATTTGTTTACACCTATACTGCTAGGAGTCAAAGCCAGGGCCGAGAGCGGGGTCAGCAATGCTTTGCCTCTGAGTCACACTCTTGACCGCAGCCCATAAGGCTGCCATATGACTATTATAAGCACAGGAAGAAAAGGAAGAAAGAGCCAAGAAGAGACAAAAAGGCTTAGCTTGCTGAGATCACAGGCATGTGTTTAATGGCCCACATAGAGACTGTTTGGGAGGAAAATTGTGAATACAATGAAGATGATGGTGAGGGAGGAGGGAGCAAGAATGACCTCTGACCACAGCCCCTTCTGTGACACAGCAGCAAGAGCATTGACTCAAGGTCTGCAGTGTGACTTTTCGAGACTCTCAGCCACACCAGGCCCTCTCCAGACCTCAGTTTCCACTCCCAAGTGTAACAATAGTGGCTGAGGAGGGAACACCAGGGAATGACTTCTTCTACTCCCAAATCTCAGAAGTCTGCCCTGCCTGCAGCCTGAAGTCACTGGCAGAACTCTGCTCCTGACTCCTTGCTTGGGTTCTTGAATGGACACATTTGGCAGCTCGGCATGTCTGTCTCTACATCCCACTGGACCTCAAAAAGGGAGGGCTATGCTTTGGCCATTACACCAGGGCACCTGAGACAAGAAATATGTCTCTGCCATGCTTATCTGAAGGCCAGGGGTCCTGCTTTGCCATTGGATTGGGACCCTTCCATCAGGCTAGTATCTTCCTTGTCCCATGGGTCTTTCATGATGTTCCTGGAAAGGTCTAAAAGCAACTATCCATCTTACCCATGTATAGTGCTGCCCGCCCGCTTGCCTTCCTTCCTTTCCTTTTTCCAGACAGTGTGTTAGGCTGGTTTTGAACCCATTAAGTAGCTAAGGATGCTCTTGAATTTCTGACCCTCCCGCTCTCACCTCCCAAGTTCTGGGTGGGATCACAGGTGTTCACCACCATGCCCAGTTTCTCAGGAGCTGTTTTCTGAAGTCCCTTTTTCAAGTAAGCGGTACCCAGCCAGGAACAAAGTCTTAAGCAGAGGAGCCATCAGAAGCGAGGCTGAGGTCTCCTCCGGATAGGCTTTCCTTTCCCAGCACTTCATCGGAAGGACTCAGGACAGACTAGGTCTCACGTGACGCACTCAATGGCTGGGGCTGTAAGATGGGTGGGTGGGGGCATTGAAGGTTTCAAGCTTCAAGGAAAAGTTTCTGACTGATTTTGCTTTCTCTGTCAGCAGCCTCCAACCTGAGGCCTTTAGACCTCTGTTTTTTTCTTTTTTTAACTCACAATATGGCTCATGGGAACCCTTCCCTCCATCCCGCTGAGATGTTAGGATCTGGGGTTCTTGAGGTGTGAATTTGAATCCTGACTCATACATGGGTTGAAATATGAATGTAACAACCAGAGCAGGTTCTGTCGCAGGAAAGCAGCAAGCATCGTCCAGTCACTGCAGACTTGCTTGCTTTGGCGGTGCCCCAGGTCACCCGGAGAGTGTTAGCCTTGCAAACTAAAAGGTGTTTAGAAGCTCCCCACTTGTTTTTACTAATTTGTGCCAAGTGCAGGGACAGCACCTGGTGTCTGGCCCGCACTAGGTACATTGGTCCTCTGAGGTGCCACCTCCAGAATGGGAACCTTGCAGAACTTCAAGGAACAAAGGGATTTCTTATGAATCCTGCCGGGCCTCTCGGGGGTGGGGGGGCGGTGTGGAAGGGTCCCTGACACTCAGAGGCAGCCATTTCCAAGACCAGGTGGAGACAGGGGCCTTAGTCAAAGCATGGGAAAAGATCTCTTTTCCCACAGGCAACCATGGACTACCAGCAAGATGCACAGCCTGCTCCTACCCCCAAATTTCCCAGCTGAAGCTTCTGGAAGAACAAAAGCACCTTTTAGCTTGCAAGGCTAACACTCTCCGGGTGCCAGGGACCAGACCTCTGATCCTGGCAGTAGTGTGCCAACCTACTTGAACACAAGTGGCACACCTACAGGGCTTAGATGAAGCTTAGGGGAGTTTCTTATTGGGTGCAGAGGACAAGGTGAGTCAACTTGTATTATGAATCATCCCCTCTCCCCCTACAGCTTCCTCCCAAGACACCAGAGCCGTGAGGAGCAGAGTGAACCCTGAGTTGAGCAGTGGCTTTGAAATGTTGAGACTTCTGACTTAGCACCAGACTTCACTCAACCCTTGATGTTCAGAGAGTACCCTTGCCACCCTCAGTGGGGACACACACACACACACACACACACACACACACACACACACACACATACACACCTGCTGGCCCTCACCTCTCCCCTGAAGCTGTTCCTGTCCATGTCCCTTCTGCTGCTGTCCAGACCCTCCATCTATCTTCACACCTTTGGTGGGAACCTAAAGGGCTCAAAGACAGCCAATCCATCAAGTCCTCGAAGCCTCTCAGCCCAAAGACTAGGATGGATGGGCTGCCAGTGGAAGCTACCTCAGGTCTCATCTGGACAGAGGCTCTGGATTCAATCTAGGAACTTCTAGGCAGAGGCAGTAAAACAGAACTTCCTGCCCAGACTCCAGTCCCTAGGGGATATCTCCCCTTTAATAGGTTGGTTTTCCACCCTGCGCTTCCCTCCTCACCTTTACCTCATCCCTGAACCCCACCTGGAGAGAAGAACCCTCTTCTTTGTTCCCTTGTGATGGCGCTGGAAAGTTAGCACAGGCTAGCCAGCTAGCACTGACATCAATGCAACAGAAATCATGACCTCAAACCTCAGAGAGGCTGACCTGATGTTAGGTACCAGTAAGAGAGTTAGGATGTCTTGTGAGAACCAGCCCAAAACTGACAGGTCCTGACAAGTTGATGGCATCACCTTTGACCTGGAGGCCTCCGAGGTCTCTATATCTCTACCAGGAGCTGTGCATATGGCTTGAGAGCACTCAAAATCATGTGTGCATATGTGTGCAAGTGTGTGTGTGTACGTCCGAGTGCGTGCGTGTGTGCATGTGTGTGTGTGTGTGTGTGTGTGTGTGTGTGTGCGCGCGCGTGCATGCTCATGAATGTGCACATATGGGTAGAGGCCAGGCGCTGGTGTTGAGTGCCTTCCTCAATCACTTTCCCCCTTATTCTCTGACACATCTTTCCCAGTCCACCAGGCTGGCCGGCCAGTAAGCTCCAGGGATCCATCCTCCTGTCTCTGCCTCCCCAGTGCTGGGACTCCAGATGTGCACCAGCACCGTTGGCTTTTCCCGTGGGGGCTGAGGATCTGAACTTTGGTCCTTCTGCTTACAAGGCAAGAACTCCACCAAGTGAGGCAGCTCCTCTGTGCCACCTTTGCTCTCTTTCTTTAGATAACAGGTTTGTCATATTAATTATTAATATGTTGCCAGAGCAAAAGGAGGACAAGAAAACCAATGTCTGCTTGGCTCGATTCCGAACCAGGTTGTGCCACACACGGATCATGGCGAGTGCTCCTGGACAGGGTCTTAGGAACAGATCCTGTAAATGGGAGAAGCTGAGGTTCCTAGATGCACACTGCCCCACCACCACCCCGAGAAGCAGAAGGAGGCTCTCAGTCCCCAGCTCCCCAAAGCCTGGACCTCCCCTCTACCCCAGTGCAACACAGCTGTTCAGATCAGTTTGCCTCCCAGGCCAAGCCTGTCTCCTGCAGACAAGAGGAAGAGGGAGCAGCAGGTGGGAGGCAGAATAAACTCCTTTTCTCAGGGGGCCTTGGGAGAGACAGAAACAAAACCATCAGCTCCCCAAGATTGCTCAGATTCCAAAACAACAGGTCTGTTCAACAAACCCACCCATGACCACTCCAAGCCTTGTACTATTTTTCTATCTTTCTCCAAGGCCACGACTCCATGGAGCCAGGAGTGACTAAGCCATCAACTGCACGGGAATGAACCTGAGTTCCTATGCTCCAGGCTCCTGGGTCAGTTATCCAAGCTCAGAATGGCTGTTGGGCCGAAGGCGAGCCCTGCAATCAGTCCCTGCTGATTTGGGGAGGATGACAACTGTTTCCCACCTCCTGCTTGGCAGCAAGAGGGAGATGGTCACAGACACAGGCAACAGAAGGAAGAGCAGCATTTGATTCCCACTCAGTCTCCGGGTCCCCGGCAGCCAGGGGCTTCCTGAGACCCTTGAGTCCTGAGTGACCCTTTTCCCCTGTGGGAGGGAGACAGTCTGGGTTACCCTGAGCCCCTCTGAGCCAGCAGGAGTCTGACAATGAGACCTCAAATGGAGCAAAGAGACCACCTACCTGAGGAGACAGGCCATTGCTGACGGGGTTCATGTGGTTGGAGGGGGCCCCGGGGTTCATGAAGCTGTCTGAGTAGCTGGAGAAGCTGTGGCGGGCTCCGTAGGCAGAGCTGGTGTCAGCTGCTGCAGCGGCCGCAGCCAGCCCGCCCTGATGCATGGTCGATGGTGGAAGGGGCTGGGGCCTGTGCACTGTGCTGCCGCCATCTGAGGAGAGACCCAGAGAGGTCCTCAGCAAGCGGTCAAAGCAGCCTTGGAACTCTTCCACCCAGTGGTGCCCTCTGGAGGGAAGGGACCAGCTTCTCAAGTGACTTGGGTTGAGACAAGCTGGTTCACAGGCAGCCCTACAGCCTGACCAGGACTTGACGGACACCAAGTTGACCTCCAGGCAACCTGCACACAGGTCTTGGTGCTTGGTGTTGGGCATACAGTAGATGCTCAATAAACGCAAACCGATTGTAAGTTGTACCCGATGGGGTCTAGAATCCACCCAGACTTGTCTTATTACCGTTTTGTGGGTACCTGCCAGGTGCTTTCAGCCGTGCTGAGTGAGTCCTAGCTTATGGCGGAGGGGTTGTGTGTGCTGGGGGAGACTGAGGTTCGGCCAGGTTGGCTTATAGTTGAGGCCAATGAGCAAACCGTGTTTGAAATGACCAAAGTCCAGTTGTTTCTCCTTCTAGCCACTGCATTTCTTCTCTGCTGTGTTCTGCACAGCCCTCTGAGGCTGGGTCCCTGCTGCCCTCGGCACTGACTTGATTTCTTATTGAGAATCATGGTCAGGTATCTCTGGCTCCTTAGCCTCCTGAATGCCAGGCTCTGGGCCCTTCAGGAGGCAGCCCTGTGAAGCAGCTCTTAAGAGGTTTCTATGTATGCTGGGGTGGGAGCAAGATGGGCCATTCGGGGAAACTGGGAAAGGAAACTTCCCAAGGCCGTTGGGTATCCTGGGCTCTCTCTGTCCACTCCCTCCCTCAGCATTCCCCTTCTTCGGCATCTTAGAAGCTACTGGAAAAACTGTGCCCAAAGGTTCTTCCTTCCTTGAGGGGCTTCAAAGGCCCATTGTGGCCCAGGGTGTGGGGGGAGAGGGGCTTAACTCTTCACCCCTGAGTGATCAGGCATTCCAAGGTCAGAACAACAGGATGACATTTTCTAACAGCAGACACTCACCTTGGGAGATGGTGGTGGTGGGGTAGGTAGAGTCCGGCAGCTGGTAGGGTGGCAGGGTGGGCATGCCAGTGGGTGGGAAGCCTCCAGGCAGAAGGTGGTTGAAGGCAGCCAACTGGTTAGCGCCTGCCTGCTTGCGCCAGCGGGCGCGACGGTTACTGAACCAGACCTGAAGGGGAGAAGACGCTGAGCCTGGCTCCCTGCAGAGAGCTGAGGCACGGATAGGGTGGTTCCCCGAGCAGGCAGCACCCAGCTGGTCAGTGTCTTCTTCTAAGAAGCAGAGCCCACCATTGTGGGGTTCAGGGCGGTCTGCACGGAATGTCAGAGGCGGGGCCTCAGCACCACTACCCAGGGAGGTGTTTTAGAATGATCCCTGATGGACAGATGAGGAACTGAGAACTAGAGGAAGTAGGTGACGGCCACAGGACAGACAGGGTGAGGGAAGGCCTGGAGAAGTCGGCCAGACACGCATTCCAGAGCTCTTCCCATGGCAGGGTCTCCAAGCCTTGCTCCAGCTCCTCCAGGAAGCCCTCCAAGAGGAGACCACACATACGGAACTTCCTGAGGGCCTTGGCACCATCTGTGCCAAGTGGGAGCTGAGACCCTGCCCGGTCACATAGCTCAGGCCCTGCTAGAATAGGGCATGCACAGATACACAAACACACTAGGCATGAGAACTCACCCTGCTGCACTTCTGGCCATAAAAGCCCTTCTATGTCTTCACCCTCATTCTGCTTCTAAGATGGGGCAGGTGAGCCCCTGCCCCTTCAAGGGAGGCCCTGCTTGGGCCTCCGTTGTGTAAACCATCATTCTGTTTATCTGCTCCTGGCTGAGTAGCTCTCAGCCTCCCATCATGTTTAGGGCATCCTGGGCAGAGGCCAGGAATTCCCTGTACCCTGCAGGGGGAGCATCCCATAGGCGATCAATAAATGCTCACTAAATAAATGAATACTAGATGGATGAAGAAAGAAACAAAGGTGGTACAAAAGTCTCTCTATGTGACTGTCCTGGAACTCCCTGTGTAGACCAGGCTGGCCTTAAACTCATACAGCAACTCCTGCCTCTGCCTACTGAGTGCTGGGATTAAAGGTGTATTTCATTAACATCTAACTTCTTCTCCTTCTCCTCCTTCTCCTTCTTAAGACAAGGTCTCATGTAGTCTAGGCTGGCTTCGAACTTGATATGTAGGCAGGGATGGTGTTAAGCTTGTGATCTTCCTTCCTCCTCCTGAGATTATAGGTGTATGCCACCCGATTTATGTTGTGCCAGGGCTCAAACCAAGGGCCTTGTGCATGGCTGGCAAGCAATCAACCCTCTCAGCCACACGCTCACACATCAGTCAGGCCCTAATATCTTGTTGCTTTGCATTTAATCTTGTAACCCTAGAGGCACGCAGACCCTGCTGTTATGGAAAACAACACTGGGTTCAGGGAGGATTATTTAGGGGCAGATTCCAACCTCCTGCCAGACCACTCCACTCACCCACACACTGAGATGAGCTGATGCAGGGTGGTGAGACCCGCAAAAGCACAGTCTTCAAAGTAGAGGCTAAGTCACAAGGCACACAGAGTTGGGAGTCACAGCAGCACCCAGGGCCTTGAGTCCCTGTCCCACTCCCACGGTGGTAACCCCTCACCAGGGTCCCCAACCCATGGACATTGTGTTTTTGTTTGAACAGTTCCATAGACGGTGGTCTCTTGCCCTCCCTGGACATCTGCTTTGTTAGTGACCACAGAAACCAAAGGAGTCCTGGTGACCACTGAGTTCTGACCCTGAGCTCCTGGTACAAACTTCCTTTTGAAAGAGGAAGCTGAGCTGCTGGTGGTCAGCTGGTCGGTGTCAGGGATGCAGGCTCTCCACCTAGGACCTCCTCCTGCATACGTCTCTATTGGACCCGAGTGGATGCCCTGTCAGCTCTAGTCCTGCCTCCAAGGCCTCTAAGCATCTGGGTGCTTCAAGACACCTCTCTTAGAGCTAGCTCTTCAGCTTTTCAGTCAGGCTCTGTCCACTCTTAAAATTCTCTTGTTGTTTCTTCCTCTGTTCTATCCTACCCTGGGAGCTCACAGGCAGCCGTTAGAAAGGGGCCCAATGAATCTGTGGCTGGTGGCCTTTCTGTGGTTTGTCAAGGCTTGGCCTCCTCCATTCCTCCTAGGGCCTTGAGCAACACCTGTTTCCCTGGTCCCCTGGGCCAATGAAAGCACTGTTCTGACAGCCAGGAGATTTTCTAAGAGATGCCAGGCTCCTGGCGGTGGGAAGCCTTGAGGCTGCCAGACAAGGCAATGAGGGAGTTGGGAGGAATGCATCCCGGGACAACAGCTGCAGGGATCAAGGAGAGAGAGAAGGCAGTCTGTGGCTCCAGTATCACCAGGAGGGAGGGGATGAGATGAGCTAGCCGGCTGCCACACCCACCCTCTTCCCCTTGGCAGTGGGAGAGTGGAAGGAGGATGAAGGGAGGTACACGGATTCCTGGAGGGTTTGGGGCCAGTTTCTTCTGGGACTTCCCTTATTGCTTTCTAACTCCAGCTCCTGTGTCATCTCCCTTCTCTTGGGCACAGAAAGAACAACTTAGGCTTTGGTGTGAGCCAGGCCAGTCTATCTCCGTGTCCCACTGGCCACTTTTCTGAGCCCTAGCTTCTGTATCTGTGACTTGGGCTGGAGCAGTGGCCATCCCAACCTGATGCCTGAGTCTGAGGCTCCGTCACCTTCAACACTGTGGCTTGCAGCTGTGGGGTGGCCGAGGGGAGCCGCTTCTTGGGGTGTCACGGTTTGGTGCGGCCCCTCTGCTGACCCACCTCCTCTGTCCTTAAAGGTGACAGCCCAGGACAAGGTTGCCATGCAAGAGGTTCATCCCATCACCCTGCCCTCCCCCACATCTCCTCCACAGCCTTAGCCCTGTCCAGGTAGGTGCAGAGATGAGTCTAGTCTGTGCTTTCTGGAGGAGAGGTCCACAGGGCTCAGCCTGGGGCAGATGAAACAGGCTACCCTTCCCCCTCGCCTTCTCTGAAAGGGCCTGAACCTCAGCTTGGACTCTTTTCCCTGTCACGGGCCCTCTGATTAGGGACCGTGTACTTCCGGTGTTTAAGGTCTTGGGTGAGCCTTCCCAGTCCCGATGGTTTGAAATTACCCAGAACACATCTTGCATTCTTCTAGCAATGGGAAACTCATTCCCTGACTGAGGAAGATAGGCCTGCTGGGTAATTTCCCTCCTCATGGGAGATTTGGAGATTATGTGCCTGCCCTCTTCTCTGAATACCCCCGACCCCCACTTCGAGTTCCCATTCTCCCTTTTCTTCTTTCTTCTCATCCCTCCCTGTCTCCCTCCTCCCCTTTGGGCTCTCCAACTCTCTGTCAATCTGTAAATCATGACCTACCGACACGGGCTGCCCCTTCGGGGCTGCATGCATTAGGGTATGCTTGGTTCCAGGATCGCCCATGGAGCAAGCACTAGACTCAGAACCCTTCCATCCTCCCTCACCCATCCTCCGCCCCCTCTGACCCCAGCGGAGCGCTGCAGCTCTGCTCACCTGGACACGCGCCTCCGTGAGCTTGGTCCTCTGCGCCAGCTCCTCTCGGGTATAAATATCCGGGTAGTGGGTCCTCTCGAAGGCCTTCTCCAGTTCCTCCAGCTGCTCGGCAGTGAACGTGGTCCGACTGCGCCGCTGCTTGCGCTTCAGCGGGAGGTCAGGCTCTGACTCCACATCTGAGCCCTCGTCCAGACGGTTCCCTACAGCCGGGTGACATGGTGGGCACAAGGTCACGCCTGTGTCCTCCTCTGAACACTGCACTGGGGGTCCAGTGTCTCCCACAGGAAGGCGGCTGCTGAGCCCACCATGGCTTAGCCATGAAGGATTATCCTCCATGTCCAGCCCAGGAGCCTGGGTAAATGCTTTCTGCCCCAAGTAGTCCACTGCTAAAGCCAGTCCCCTCCAGCTGGGCATTTAGATGTATCTATGCTGACATGGAAGCCCCTGACCAAGACTTGATGAAATACATCTCTCAAAACTCAAAGGATAGGGGGCTATTGAGACGGCTCGAGGGGGAGCAGGGGTTGGGGCAGGGGGTAGGGAGAATGTAAAGGCTGCAGCAACCTGCCATCCTGAGTTCAATTCCCTGGAAGCCACATGGTGGAAGGAGATAACCCCATCCCGAAAGTACGCGCATGCTGTGGTGGGTGCACCTCCCCCAAAATAAATAAATGTAAATTAATATTTAAAAAATCCTCAAAGGATGATAAGCTCAGAGGCAGGAGGAGTGTGGTTGTGTTTTCACTGCGCCTAAGCCGGTCTCTAAGAAAAGTAGGAAAGCATAAGCCGGGAAGCAAGGAGCAGCTCCACCTTTGGGAAAAGCATGCAAGGTAAAGGCTTTGGTCTCCCGGGTGAGGCGGGAGGGAGGCAGGGGCCAGGCTTGTTCGGGAAGGGGCTGAGCTCTGAGTCCCAGCTGTTGGGGCTAAGACCTGGGGAACAGAACTGGCTCTGCACCGGCACCAGTGCTAAGCTTCTAGCTGTTCTCTGGCCTGGTGGAGTAGACACCAGCAGGTGATCTTTACTGTAATCCCAGCGGCCCTGGGAAATGCAGAGCACAAGGAAGAGGTCTCAGAGATGAGAGCTCTTGGGAGGAAGCAGGAAGAGAGAGGGTACCAGCCCTGTTCCTCTCTCTCCTTCCCTTTGCTATGCCATCTTTGGGATTCTTGGGACTTTTTGTTCATTCATTCATGCATTCATTCACTCATTCATTCATTTAGAGACCATTTACAAAGCACCTACCATGCTCCTGAGTGGGCCAAGCACACAGTGGGCAAGGTGAGACTCTGTGCCTAGGGTGCTCAGTCAGCGACAAGCTAGAGAGCCTCAAAAGCTGCCTGCTCATAGTATGGCGAAACAGAATCACAGAAAGTCAGGCTGGGCAAAGTCTCTGGGCAAGCGTCCACACTGCAGCCTCCACCCTGGTCTCTGACCGACCCACCAGCACACAATCAGCTGCCTCAGGGATTGGTTACATGAGAGTCTAGGCACTTCCCACAATGAACAGCTCCCACGACTTCCACCCGACTCACAACACAGTGATAACAAGAAAAAAAATACGGCAATTTAGAAATCATCTGGAGTCGAGGGGAAAGTGTGCTGGGATGACAGAAGAGCATGCGCAAAGAACCTGTGCATCAAAAGGTACAAGGGGTCATTTTGCCACAGGGTTGCGTCCACTGCCAGGAACCAGGTGGCACACGGGGAGAGGAAGAGTCTTGGCCAATGCCCTGGCTTGGGCTGGCTTCCTCCTCAGCTCCTCCGTTCCCTCCATCACTGTATTTTGTTCACTGTATTTTGCTCTCTGTATCTTAGCGACCACTGCCAGGCTGTGTCTGATTACTGCACTAAGCTCCATAGCCAGAGAGCCAATGGCTGCACACCTAAGGTCAGAGCCAACTCTCCCCTTGTTCTTTTCTAGACAGCTTGCCAGCTGCCCACCACCCCGTGAAAACATGAAAGGTGGGCATACATGGCACCCTGGGGTCCTCTCCCCAGCACACCTGGGACTCTGAGCCAGACATACCAATGGCCTCAGTGTCCTGATGGGGACCAGGAGAGCAGTTAGGTCAGGGGAGGAAGTGAGCAGGGTAGGAGCAGCTCCAGGCAATGTCCCTTCAGGTGACCCTCAGAGCTCAGACACTAGCTGAGATCAGAATGGTCAGGAACAAAAGCTTGAGCAGGGACCACCCTGCCTGCTGTGGGCTGAAACCCATGGTGCTCTATCATGGCCAGCCTCATGCTCCTTCCTCACCCTTTTCTCGCTGCTTTTCAGATTTTCTGGACAGACCACAAACTTCTGGTTTGGCTTCCTCCCTGGCTCCCTGTCCCTTATCCTTAGTGATCAGGGATCTATAGAGACACCAAACCCAAGCCCAAATGGAGAGCAGCAAAGCAGGGTCCACAGACCTATGCTGTTTGAGAGAGCTGGTCCTCTGGGGTGAAGCATTGCCATAACAACCCTCTGATAGTGAGAACAGGTCTATCCTGTTGCCCACAAAGATCCAGAGAGTTAAGAAATCAAGGCCACAGCCTATGTGTGACTTCAGTTTTCCACTCTCTGGCCCACCCCCGGAGCAGACCTCCAATCCCACAGCCTGCTCTGTGCAGCCTCACTTGACAAGTCTGTGAAGCCTGAGCTACAGAGTCTCTTAAAAACAGTCCAAGTAAGAAACGGAGAGATTCAGTCACTTGAAAGAGGCTGCACAGTCCGTAAGCCTCTTCCTTGCCGTGGAGGGATGTAGCTTGGAGACAGTTTGTGTGTTTGAGGTCTCCTGGGTCAACTTTGGTACATCTAGGGCCTGAAGGCTAGACTCAGGCCACTGTTTTGCACTTGCATGTGCCTTTGGAGAAGTCACTTCCTCTCTGGGGGCCATGGTTTCCCCAACTAGGAAGAGAGAATGAAATATATTTATGTGCCCCATACCCCCGGAAGGCTTTGGGGTTGGAACCAAGTAGATGGAGAGTGATTTGGAATACAATGCATGCAACAGGATCATCGTTATTAATGATGGTAGAAAGGTGCGAGAAATATGGGAGAGGGGAGGAGCAGAGAGGCCTGAGAAGGAACACAAAGAGCTTCTTTAGTCCTCAGTGCCCTTGATTCAGTTCATTGTACCCCACCTTCCCGGCACCCCCTTTCTACCCCTAGAAATCATCCTTCACCTTCTGAATTAAATTAATCGACAAGACTAAGGGTGCTGGCATCCCTGCAGGCTGTGGCTGAATCTTCTGGGCAAAGAAGGCTGGGATTGATTGGAGCCTGGGCATCGGGCCTGGGGAGGAGGATTGTGGGGAAAGCAGACATGGAGAAGCATTCATTAAATCATCAGCAGGGTTGGGGTGGGCATCGGGGAGCAGCTCCTGGCCAGCTGTGACCCCTGCCTTCCTACTTTCCCTGCAGCTGGTGGACTCAATTGCCTCATGGACCAACTGCTGGTCTGAAGATGCCCCCGAAGGGAAGGGAAAGTAGGGAGCCCTCTCTGGGTTCCCGAATCCTGTCTCCACTTAGAGGAGTGGGAGGCCCACTCCAAGCAAGGAAGAATGGTCTCTAAGTTGGGGCCTCCAATCTTATGAAGAGAGAAACAATCTGTCTTAGGGAGCTTCCAGGCTGATGAAGGAGACATTGCTCCTGTCCAGGGTGGAAAGCACTGTAGGGTACACAGGGCAGACAGACAGCAGACATAGAGACCATGACGTTACCTGCAAAAGCTGGGGAAGCCCAAGGACTGCAAGGGACCAGAGATGCTGGGCTCATCAAAGCCCAGGATGGCCTAGCATAGGCTAACAGTGGGAGACAGACAGAATGGGAAGTCTCTGGGGGTGGCTATAACCTCCACCAGCCTCTCGACTTCTGCCTTCTTTAGGGTCTTTTTCTACATCCCATCCTATCCCATCCCATCCCATGAAGCCATCACCAAGTGCTGGGCTATGCCAAGGAGTCTCTGAAACAGTAAAGCTGGTAACCATCCCCTATTTGGGTGTCCACACAGGAGGCTCCCAATCAGACTCATCATTTCCTACGCGAATGCGAAGGGCCCTCTCCTGACTCTGCCTCTAGCCATGTCCTTGCTGTGAATGGAGCCTGCTCATCCAGCACAGCCCCTCCCAGCGGGTGACCTCCCAGCAAGGCTTCCTGAGCCAGGCCAGGTACCTTTTCAGCATCGTTGCATGGGGGGTGGGAGGGGGCTCTTAAATCTCAACCCATCAGAAATCAGAGACGAAGGTCTGGGAAATAGCTCAGTCGGCAAAGTGCTCATTGTACAAGTGTGAGGACCTGAGTTCAAGCCCCAGCCACCACATAAAGAGCTGGCCAGAGGTGGAGACCCGAAATCTCAGCACAGGGGATGCAGAAACAAGTGAGTCCTTGGAAGTAACTGGCCAGCCACCCCAGTCTAATTGGTGAACACTAGGTTCTGATAAGACACTCTGTCTCAAAAGACAGGTCCTGAGGGAAATAACACCCAAAGTGGACCTCTGGTCCCTCCACGTATCACTCATCCTCCAATACGGAGTGATGCCTTAGTCTCCACAGACAATGGCCATGTCTGTGGATGGGTCTTCCGGCCTTGCTAGGCCAGCAGACTCTTGACTGTGACACGGATGGTGCCTGGCACACATCAGGTATTTAGGGTAGTGGCACGAATGCTTGCCCGTATCCTGGCAGAGTGATCCTAAGTACCTTTCGACGACTGACACCCTGCAACACCCATCCCCACGAACGGGGGTGGGAGGGTTGCAGACTCTTCACCCTGCTAACACGAAGCCATTGTTCTCACTGGTTGGAATGCCAGAAGATGAGGTTGGCCCACTTGGCAGGTGCCCACTGGAGCCATGGAGCAGCGAGGCAGGAACAAAAGCCAAGGAGCCTGGCTCTGCGGCTGGCGGTAGACACCCGCCACGGCGGCTCTCTCGAGCAGCCTGTGATCTTGAAGTCATGGTGGCTGCTGCCCCCTCCCCAGCCTTTCCCTCCTCTTCCTGGCTGGAGAGGTTCCGCAGACAGTGGTGGCTTTTGAAGGTGCACACCTCCAGCGCCTCCTCGCCCCCAAGCAGTGGAAGCCAACATTAGTCAAGAGGCACAGGGTCTCTCTACCCTGCACCCCATCACAGAAGTCCCCCCACCCCCCTGCTCCGCGCCCCACCCCTCTCTCCCTCCACCTCCCATCCCAGTTATTACAGTTTAACATAGGCCCTGGTGTGGAGCTGCGGTGGAGAAACGAATCACATAATAGTTGATATGCGTTTTAATCAAGTAATTCGGGCAGAGCCGAGAGCTGGCGAGTATGGGCCCGGTGTCCCTGAATACCAAGCAGGCCTGCGCCCAGGCCTCAGCAAATGGAAAAGTCATTTACAGCTCAGCTGGGGGCCGCCGGCCTCAGAGTGGCAGGTGCCCTCCCATCCTTTCGCCCCCTCTGTGCAGAGTGCTCAGCTGTAACCAGCTCACCAGGTGTGCACACACTAGGCTGGTTTGTGGGAACTGGCCCACGCAAGATGCAGAGACGTGGGGACTCCTGCCAGGAGATGAAGCACCCCCAATTCCTGCCCTCCTCTTCTACCCGTGTTCCTCTTGGGCCCTCAGTCCAGCACCAAGCAATTCAACCTCAGGTCCCAGGCCTCTGTCCTGCGAAAGTCTGCCCTCTCCCGCCCTGGACTGTCCCTCACAATCTCCGCTGAGCCCTGGTGGCCAGGACTTGGCCATGCACCTTGCCCCACACAGGCTCTGCACCCACCAGTTTGGGGAGAAGGGAGGGGGCTTGGAGCTCAGAAGTGACTGAAGGGTCTTTCTGCATAGAGAGGGGTCTTCATCAATTCCCAGGCCCTGCTGCCTTCTCTCCCGACCCTATGTGGGGGTATGGTGGAACCCAAACGTCCAGGGTCTCCAGGGACCTCATTAATCCCAGTTTCTCAGCCAAGACCTAAGACATGACCGACCTAAGAGTCTATGTTGAGGTTAGAGTCTCAGGGATTTGCCCGTGACCACAGTCAAGAGGGCCAGTTGGAGCGGGGGGTAGGGAGGATATGACTACAACACTCTGCTCTGAGGTTTTCCACAGCCTGAGTCCAGCCCACCTCAGGAGCTCTGCCCTATTTACCCCTTGTCTAGGAAGGTGGTGAATCAATCCGGCAGGAGCTATTCCTACTTCTCAAGGCAGACTCTGCTCTGACAGAGGGTAAACGCCCACCCCCTCGGGTCTGAAGGACTCCAGACTGTCAGAACACTTGTTACCTTAGAGGTTCCTCCACTGTTGAGGGGCAGGCCCCAGTCTTTAGATGGTTCACTCTCCCAACCCCCCCCCCAACAAAACAAAACAACAACAAAAAAACCAACATAGCCTTTCAGGGAAAGCTGGAGTTGAACTTCCAACTTAACAAAACTCTTCCTCAGCTAGGAAGCCCTGCCTAACTCCTTTAGGTTGTACTTTCAAAATCTGAGCCTTGGAATGATCATTTGTATGATAAAATGTGGGGTCAGCGTGGGGCATTTTGAACACAATCCTGTGCTAAGAGCACAGTACTTTTGTTAGGCACTAGGGGGCGCTATGTATACATCCCTAACAGGAAGAGGCGGATCCAGGAAGAAGGAAGTAGTACTGCCTGGACCAGCATTGTGTGGTCAGAATTCAGTAATCTTTTCTTTCTTCTGGACTGAGCTGGGAACCAAGCATATGTCATGTGTAGGAGAAAAGCCAGGTGTCCAGGGTGGGAAACACCAGAGCCAAGGACACTGAGGCAGGGTATAGAGTTCAAACCTAGGGTTTATCTGCCTGAAGGTGGAAGGTCAAAGTCCTGGGGAACTTTCTAGCTCATTCTCTTTATCCTGTTGTCCCACATGGCTAATATGGACTGTGGGTAGGGGTGGCCGCTGTGTGGAATAATCTGGGTGCCTTGGAGACAGGCGGGAGCCTACCTTAACTGGAGCTGAGCTCCAAAAATTATACTCTTCCTATGGGTGGGGTGGGACATGAGGAAACACGGGGGTCAGAGGACACCCTTAGATGTCGTTCCTCATTTTTGGTTTGAGGTAGGGTCTTTGATAGGCCTGGAACTCTTAACAAGCAGGCTTAGGGATTTGCCTGCCTCAAGCCCCCTGTTGTGGTGGTTTCTGGGGATTGAACCCAAGTCCCTCTGCTTGCCAGGCAAGGACTCTCCCAAATGAGCCAACACCCCCGCCTTTCCTTGGGTTATTCCAATGACTGGAATAAGTGAAGCCTTATTGGAATAAGGGTTCACTTAGGTCACTGTTAGTGTCAAGCGGAGGGAGCAACAAGTGCCAAGCAGATAGTGCCGGGTAGAGTAGAGCCCAGGACACCCACCTCATGCCTTTAGTCCTCTCTAAGAAGGCAAGGCCAGAGCAACCAAAGCAGACAAGGGTTCCAGAGAAATGGGAGGAACCAGAGCTGGTGGCTCAGGCTGGGGGATCTGTCTGCCTCCTTCCAGCCACAAGTGCTGGGCTGGTCATTGCTAAAAAGATCAGTGATGAAGGTGTCAAGGGAAGCTAAGCAAAGAATGAATCGGTGGATGAATGAATGAATGAACCACTGTATCAGGCTGCTATCACCACCAGCACCACCAACAAAGAGAGCTTACTCTGGGCCACAGAGGCAAAGATTTGTCTGACACAAAATCCAAAAGCAAAGAGCAAATACAAGAGTAGATGAATGACTGAATGAATGACTGAAAAAAATGGCCACATAAATGAATCCTCCTTTATCCTCCCCTTCTGATTTACACAGACCCACACACACTTCTAGCGTGCCAGTGTGTGGTGGGGCACAACGGTAACGATGACTGATGGGATATTTTTAAATGGCCAGGACACAGGAGTGTAACTGTCCCCAGCACAAAGGAGTGACATGTGTTTGAGGGGGTAGGTGGGTGAACTACATACTTTGGGTCCACTGAAATGCCTCCGGCACCCCACAGATGAAGGCAACTACTACGTCTCACTTAAAAAACTAAGATGAAGGGCTGGAGAGGTGGCTCAGCACCTAGGAGCACTGGCTACTCTTGCAAAGGACCTGGGTTCGAATCCCAGCACCCACATAGAAGCTAACAACTGACTGTAACTCCAGATCCAGGGACTGGCACACGCATACAATGTAGCACATGGAGGCCAGCCTGAGCTACATAAGACTGTGTCTCAAATGTGTGTGTGTGACTGCAGAAGCCCTGCCCCTCACCCAGATAAGAGGACCAGAGCCTCATCCTGGGAAGTTTCCCAGAAAGCCTTTGGGCTGGTTAAAAATAAATAAATAAATAAATAAATAAAATAAAAACTCCAGACAGGAAGCTTGAAATGTCACCAACATGCCATGCGATCTCTGTTGAGTCTCACCTACCTCTCTGAGCCCCGCTCCCCCATCTTTAAGAAGAGGGGGTTCTCCTAGGTGTCTAAGACCAACCTGGGAAGGCGCCCTGGCTGTACAGGGCTTACTCATCACTCTACCTCAAAGCCCAAGACAGTGTGTGAACTCAACACAGGGTAGGGCTGGCTGTCATAACTGCCTCTCACCCTAGAAAGGACCACAGATAAGTTAAGTAGGGGTTGGAGTTCCAACCCTAGGGAAGGAGTCTGACTAAATTGGGGGTGTGTCAGTGTATGGGTCATAGGACAACCTAGAATCATCTTTCTTGCGTGGGGGTCGGGGGGGATGCTTTTCCTCCGCAAGCTGTATGGGGTCGGCTCTGCTTTTTCCGTCTCCTAAGCCCCTTTCTTCTCTTAGAAGGGAAGAGGTAAGCCAAGCTCCCCCTCCTCTCCCCTCCCTTCCCCTCTCCTTTCTCCTCCTTCCCTCCTTTCTGTCTCTGTATCTGTCTCTGTGTCTCTATCTCTGTGTGTGGGTCTCTGCCTCTGTGTGTGTGTGTGTGTGTGTGTGTGTGTGTCTTCCTCTCTCTCTTTCCCCATGAGGCCCCTTACATCTGGCTGGTCACTGGCCAGAGCATCTGCCTCCTCCCCTCCTGCCCTCTCCTGGGGCAACCTCTTCCCCGGTGGGGGGTTGGGGTCTAAAGACCCTCCATCAATCTAGGCTGCCCAGCCCACTCCAGCTGGCCTGGCCAGGCTGTTCCCAAGCAGAGCAGGTCAGGTCCGCAGTGGAAGGTGGTGGAAAAATGTGGACAAATTTCTGATTTGCAACACTCTGGGAAAGAGTTTATTGCCATTGTTTGAGGACGAATGTGTAAATAAAGCAAGGCGAAGATGGTGGGGGAGGCTGGCAAGAGGCAGAAAACGAGAAATTTTATGGCCATAAGGAGCGTACTCTAATGGTGATTTCTGAGGCATTGGACCATGCTAGTTACTTAGCCAAATGATTGCCAAGGCGCTGGGCGAAGTGGCTTATTTCTTAATTACGGTTACGTCTTACAGCAGGCAGACGCCCCTGCCCTGCGAGGCGTGGTCCAGAGCAAACACTGGCCTGAAATCAGGGCCTGACACTGAGGCTCTGGTGGGCAGCCTAGAGGGTGGGAGCCATCACTTGCCTTGAGGGCAAGGGCTGACCCAGAACTTCTTTCTGTGCCCTTGGCCAGGTGCCCCTGTCACCCCTGTCCCACCCCATCCTGATGACACCACCATACTTGGAAAAGAACGATAAATCTGGAACTTGGGCTAAGCTTCCCTGGAGCTGCCCGGCTGTGAGGACCCAAAGGGTGACATCAGGGAAAGTAGTCAGGAGGGTGTGGGCAGCTGGCTCTGACACACTGTGTCACCTGGACCAGGTGCAATGCTCCCGCCTCTTCCTGACAAGAAGGGGGTAGACTAGACAGTCTCTGGGTGCTTTGTGTGAATTCTAACATCCGGCCTCTCTGATGCTCTCGGGGTAGGGGATTCTCATTCTCAGAGTTGCAGAAATTGATTTGCAAAAGTGACCAGTACGGGCCTGCTGAACAGCTGGCTGCCTTTTACGGGTTCTGCCCGTCCATAACAGCACGACAGAGGGAAGAAGGAGATGGCTGTTGATTAAGGATTAGCTTGGGCCCGAGATGCTCCAGGAGCTCACAAAGCAGTTAGAATCCTCCATTCCCTTATGTATGGGGCAGTCGGGACTCCTCAGGAAACACTCAGAAAGGTGAGGAGACCTGAGCTGATGGTAAGATGCAAGGTCTGGGTTCAAAGCCAGGAAAGGGCCTCAGAGCTAAGACTATACCCAGTCAGTGTACTGTAGGACAACAATGCCTCCCAAGCTTCCCACAGGGGGTCACCGGGTGGGCCTAACAATGTGCATTCGCAGCCTAGATCCCAAGTATGACCTGTGAAGGCTGGTCACTGGCAGCTTTGAGGACCGCTCGAGGGCAGGGTTCTGCGGGAACCGATCCCAGCAACACACAAGGTGGGACTCTCTGAAGAGAGGGAAGAGCCATGAAGACTTACAGCTCTCCTCCCCTACTGCGAAGGTGGAAAGTCTGGAAGTCATCTGCTGTGGTTGCAGCGTGCGTGCGTGCGTGCGTGCGTGCGTGCATGCATGAGTCCTTCTCCAAGCCTGCTCCTGCCGCCTGACATAACCACTGCCTCACTGGGTTCTTGGCAGTCCCCAGCCCTCCTGACTGCTTCCCGCAGGCCCCAGACTCCAGGCTGCCTCCTCTGGGCATACCCCTCCTCCACATCTAGGCCCTGACTTAAGTCCGTTCTCTTCACCCCCAGTCTTCCCCGCTATGCTCTGCAGTCAGAGGCAACCCTGACACTTCCAGGGTAAAGAGCTGTCACCCAATCAAGAGAGGCCTTTAAAAGGCTGAAGTCAGGACCGCCACTGCACGTGTCCCAGAACAGCTCTGCGGTTGAATGATTTGGTGTGCCCACATGAGTATATGTTGCCACAGACTGATGACACACTCATTTCTGGTTTGTTCGTTGCCTTACTCATGATGCCCAGGAGAGAAGCTGGCCTACAGGAATGAATGAATGAATGGATGGATGAATGAACAAATGAATGATTTCTTCTCATGTCCAGATGGATGCCCTAACTTCAAAGCCCCAGCAGATGCCAACAGCAGTTTGCTCTTTAAGCCGGAGCGATTGTTGGGCGGTCTGTTAGCATCTCCTTGCACAAGAATCTCATTAGAGATGGATTTATGTGGCACCGGCTGCCTGCCTGGTCCCCGCTGACTGCTCTAAGAGGGCTGAGGACCTAAGCCCTGGAAACCGACATGCCGACCCTCCATCCAATCCCCTATCTGTATCCAGATGTTCAATTCACTCCTGTCCCCCTGCAAACACAGTATCTTCATCATGGCTGCGGAATAACTCCCTTAACCTGGGGACTCTCTCAGTGAAGTCAAACAGCTCTGTAAACAGGGCGATGGTGGAGTTTTCAAAACCCAATCTTCTGCTGCCTATGCCGTTTCTGTGTGTATGGGTTTTTGATAATATAGATGATAGATAGATAGATGATAGATGATAGAGAAATACACAGATGCATAGACAGGTCAACAGATAGAACCTGTTACTTATAACCTGCAGCAGTTACTGCTCTGAGCTCAGTGAGCCGAATCTTGTTGAAGTAAATAGTCTCATCTTCCACAAATGCGGCCAGCCATCACAGGGCGGTGGTGTTAAGCTACCAGGAGGTGGTAAACTCCGAAGACATACCGGTTCTCAGAAGGCTTACCCTTGCTTCTGGGTACTGTGAACAAGGACAAAATGTTCTCTTTGACAAACTGAGCCCGAGCTCAGATGACCGGCTGGGGAGCTGGGGGCTAACTGTGTGATGACGAAACTGAAACTGGGCACCTGAGATGCCCACTGGGTACCAACTGCGTCAGGTCCCTGTGGGAGGCTAGGTCAAGCTCATTTTAAGAATGAGGGTCAAGGAAGGGCTGGGACTTACTCATGATCACACAGCTATGGGTGGCAGAGTCAGGACGTGAACCCAGACCTCCTGTCACTTTGTCGCCCTTTGTGAAGTGAGGATATCAAACAGGCTAGGGAGACCGTGGAGCACTCTCTGGCTCCTACTGCTGCCTCTGCTTTCCTTCTAAGCTCTCTCCTCTCCTCCGCCCCAGAACCACTTTCTGTTGGCTGTGAATGGCCTGGAGGGGAGCTGATAAGGACTGGATCTCTGTGCACTGAGTCTGCATTTGGTGGTAATGGATGAAGCACCCTGGACACAGACACATATGATGGTAGGTGCTGTGTGTGGTGGGACTGAAAGAGATAGCCTCCCCTGCAATACCAGGTATGGGTCAGCCAGGCACAGGAGTGGCTACCCGTGTTCCTTATGATTCTGGGAGGGAGGGGGTGGGTTCTTGATTTCCCTTTTTGAGGCAAGTGCTCACTCTGTGCCCACACTGGCCTGAAGCTCACTCTGTGCCCTGGGGTTGTGGCTCAGTTGGTAGAGTGCTTGCTTAGCATGGGTGAGGCCCTGAGTTCAGTCCTCAGCACCGCACAGACTGAAACAGGAGGATCAGAAGTTCAAAGGCATTTTTGGTTGCGTGGGAAGTTCGAGTCAGTCTAGGATACAGGACAAACAAGATCAAAGCCCAAAATACCTGTGTAGCCCAATCTGGTCTCGCACTCTTGACAACCCTTCCATCCCTACCAAATGTTAGGATTATAGGCATGAACTTGCAACCATTTTCTATACTGTATTTCTGGCCAAGCCAAGCTGCAGAATTTGCACCAAGAGCTCGAACCCCCAAGCCCTCTGTGGTGCTGGGAATGGAAATATAGCTCCACACTGTTCTGCGGAACCGGGGCCTCACAGCCCAACCTAGGCTCCTCTCCCTCCCCAGCTGCACTGCTGCCCTCTAATTAGATTCCCCTGGAAATAAAAGGTTTTGTGCAGTTCTGCTAAACGCAAAGAGGTTTTACAATTGCTTTTCTTTCTCCTCGTTAATAACTCACCACGTCTCGAGGAGGTTGTACTTATGGCCGGCACGCTGGAAAATTATTCTGTCTCTTGCGAACTCACTTTCCTCTTGAGGAAAATTGAAAGCTGGATTTTCTTCTCCATCCTGGCCCCTCTCTCTGCCTACCTTGTGCTCAGAATACTCTCACTCTGCTCTACATCCCCTTGAGGCCTTCATCTGCCTCTGAAACAGAATTCTCTGCATCCTGCCCTCAGCATGGAAAGGCAGGTGGCCCCAGGCTGACCCAGGGAACAGTGAGGCATCTTTCCAAAGTTTAGGAAGTCGCAGAGGGGGGGGGGCTGGGGAGGGTGTGGAGCAGTTGGCTCCACTTTGAGATGGCTTTTGCCTGCAGAGAACTGGATGGGCTCCAGCCTTCCCGAGGCTGGGCACTGGGCACATTGGGAGCCTTTATTGGTCCCATCGGGTTCCCGTTAAGGGTCAGGGAGTAAATCACAAACAAATGGACTGCATTTCCATTTCTGAAGGCATCTCCAGCCGGACGGGCCCTCCACGTGAGGAACATCCTCTTAAGTGAGGCCTGATGGGCTCAGGAGCCAGGTGGATAGTATCCCCATGGGCCAAGGCGGCCATCTGCACAGCCCAAGGCTTCACCGGTCAGCACCACCCAACCTGGTCAGTAAGGCTTCCTTCAGGATAGGAGAATACACAGATGATTGGATACCTGGTGGGGGTGGGGAAGGGTGGGGGCCGGGTGTGTGTGGTGGTGTTGGGGTAGGTGGCTATTGCTGCAGATCAGGACCCTGAGTCCATGGGCTTCAGGAATTTGGGCTAGAGAATCCTGATCCAGGGGACACAAGTGTATGGAAAGAGAGCTTGCTGAGCAAGTAACACAGGCTTAGGCAGTTAGAACCACAACCACGAGCAAAAGGAGTCCAGCACAGCACAAGTAGGACAGAGACCCTGGACATCCAGGGTGTCCAGGTACCTGAGCAGAGTCACCCAAAGCCACTCCACTTTATGTGTCACGCTCTTTGGCTCCCAAACCCTTCTATCCTACTCTTAAGACAGAGTTTGGTAAAGGGAGACAGACTCAGCCATACCCATGGAGATAATTGATTTTTGCAATGATTGAGGCTCTTTGCCAACCAAGCTCCGGGTACCTAGTATCTCATTTAATCCTTGCAGGAGCACCTCTGGCCAGGCGGGTACCATCATGTCCGTGTGAGAGCCCCAGGTTCCAAATGGTAGTGTCACCCTACCAGCGACCATGAGGGAACACAGAAGGCAGCTTCAGTGCCCCAGGTGCCTTAGAGGCATTTGCAGAATAGTTCTTTCTGCTTGACTATCACAAAGAGTTGGCCTTCCCTCCACTACGTGACAGATAAAACGGCCCACAGAGGCGAAGCTACGTCCCAGGTCACAGAACTTACATGCTGACTGTGGGTGTTCTGTCTACTTGTCTACACCAAGAATCTCCCTGCCTGCCTGATCTCAGAGAGGGCAAGGGGTTCATGAGAAGTCACACAGTAGGTGGCTGAGCTGGGGTAAGGAATGTTATCAAGCCTCCTCCATCTTCCTTTGTTTCCACATCTCCCCGAATGTGCTTGGAGTATGTCACTGAAGAGTGAGGTGAAAGACAGTGTGCCTCGCCAGTGAGGGCATCTGTCCTAGAGCGATGTTTCATTAAGTCCTCAGGTCATCCATCACTGTCTGTAAAGCTTGGTGGCTCCCTTCTGCTCTCCCTTGGGAGCTCAGAAGCAGGGCCATCCTACCCCCAGTGAGGGTGTCACTAGAAACAAGAAAGGGGGAAAAGGAGAGACCCCTTCCCCAGTGCCGGGAATGGAGGGTTAGCCCACCAAACTGGGATCCTCTGCTCCTGGGGGAACCAGAGGCATCAAAGACAGGAGAAACAGGGTTAAGTAAGGATCCTAGCCTCTCAGCCCCAGCCCCGCCCCGGGCCCCTTGGGAAAACTGACACAGGAGCTTGCCACATCCTCTTGGGCCCTGACATGTTGGGGAGAAACCTGAGGAAGCCAGGACTAGCCTGGGAAGAGACTTATCTCTAGTCATGTGGCTGAGTCACTGTTTGCTGAAAAGGTTGCCTAGATATGTCCCAACAGGCACGCGCCCAAGGCCTGCTCCAGCTGCAGACACACCCGGGTCCCCAAAGCAGGACAAAGGCAACCCTCCTCCTGGTGTGCGTGTGTGTGTGTGTGTGTGTGTGTGCTGCCTCAGGAATGGTCTTCTCCAGAGAAAAGCCTGTGTAAATGCATGCAAAGGGATGGGCATCTGAGTGGCACTCCAGAAATGGAAGCCGTTATTATGGCTAGCAAGCTTTCAGTGGGCGCCTGTTAGATGCCAGGTGAGCGCTCTCTCGAACTGGTGTCTCCTCTAATCCGTCTGCCCTCTCTGCATGATGGCTGATAACGCTGGGTTTTATAGCTCTGTGATCCAGAAGGGTCTGGCCTGGCAGCGGCTACTGGACTATCCATAGCGCTCTTATTCAGCCTCGGCAGCTGAAACTGCCTATGAGCCTTTTTCTTTTGGACTTTTTTTATAAAGGTCTTGGGAGATGAGTTAGGGTCTCATGTAGCCCAGGCTAGCCTCAAACTCACTATGTAGCTGAAGATGGCCTTGAACTTCTGATCTCCCTACCTCCACCTCTTGAGGACTGAGTTTTCCAGTATGTGTCACCATGTCTTATCTGGTACAGTGTTGGGGCGTCTATCCCAGGGCTCTGTGCATGCTGGGGGAGCACCCCGTTGTCTGGGCTACACCCTCAGCCTTACCTTGGAGCTTTTTAACAACGACCCAAGCCCACTCTGGGCTGGAGGAAGTTCCAGACAGGCACCGGGGTCCTAGCTCAAGGGGACAGTATGCCCAAGTGCCTGGGTAGGACTGGGAATGGGACTAGCCTCTGCCTCTGTGTTTGGAGTGCTTTCCAAAATCTTCAGGTCTCTACCACCCCCTCACCTACCGCAGCACTAGAGTAGATGCTAAGCAAGGCACACGCCCCTGCACCTGCCCTCACACGCTGCCGCTGTGTCCCTTAGGCCCTTCTGCTGAAGTCGGGGCTCCTGTGCTCCAGCCATGAGAAGCATCTTTATGGGTCATAGCTCAGTTGGTAGCGTGATGGCCGAGCACTTGGGACACAGTGAATTTGACCCCCAGCCCTGAACTGGGAGTGGTTGTGCTTTAAGGACTCTGGAGATGAATTAGAAAGGTCATCCTTGGCTGTGTAGCCAGACTAGGCTCTGAGAGATCCTGTCAGGTGTGTGTGTGTGTGTGTGTGTGTGTGTGTGTGTGTGTGTGTGTGTGTTCGACTGCAGGAAAAATCATTCTTACACCCCACAGGCTCTCAGAAGGACTCAGATGACGACGCAGATGACGCAGAAGGACGAACCCTTCTCCCCAGCTCATCCCCTTTTCTGTTACATTTGCCCAGGAACTTTTTTCTTTCTCCCCCCACCCTCGCCAGACAGGGTGTCACTATGCAGCCAGGGCTATCCCAGAATTTACTATATAAACCTGGCTGGCCTCAGACTCAGACTCACAGAGCTCCGCCTGCCCCTGCCTCCTGAGCGCTGGGATTAAAGGCATGCGCCACCACACCCTGCCCTTGCTCAGGAGCTTCTAACACGAGTGTGGGCCCTCCTCCATCTCACACATAGTTACCGCAGAGAGGGAGAGGGATTTGCCTGATGGTACACCCGAATCTCCGTGGAAGGGTCAGGACTTGAACATGTCTCCTTAATTTAGCTTTGGAATCAGGCGCAAGCTGTCTTTTTTTTTTTTTTTTTTTTCCAAACCTGAATCGGGAGGAAATGAAGTCACACCAAAGGAAGAACCGGCCAGCCTTGGTAGCCCTAAACCCTAGAAGCAACAGGCAAGGGCGGGGTGTAGGGGCTGTCAGGGGGCCTGTGGAGCATCTCTGGGCCTTTCCTCAATAACCATGAAAGGCCCCTACCCTTAAGCCTCTGAGCCAGGCTCACCAACAGGCAGTATGGATTTCCCCCAGGTGAAGTGGGGGGAAATTCAATCCTGTTTCCTTAGGTCTGTGCTTGCCAAAAATCTGTTTGCTCCGAGCACTCTGAGAGGCCTTGGCTGCCTTGTTTCAAATAATTGACTTTCAAAGCCTGTCTTTAGGTGAATTATTACCTCACACTACCTGGGTGAGGAGAGGTGGGACCCTGAGGACCTTGCCAGGGACCAGGGAGGTGCCCAGCTTGGTAAATAGTCAGATGCTTTCTGCACTGGCCTCGCTGGTCCCTCTCCTCTCCCAAGGCTTTCCCATGGTCATAGG